TTGGTAGATTGCGGGTCCGCCTTCCCGCGGCCAGGGGCGAGGGAGGGGGAGCCTGCGCCGCGCGTCTTGTGCCCCGTGCACTGACGCCGCCGCGCCCGAAGAGTGCGTGTGCATTCCGCCTCCGGGAAAAGAGGGGGACGGAAAAAAAAACACCCCGGACCAATGGAGATGCGCGGGAGCCGGGGCCGGATGGGGCCGGGGGACCGCGGCGCCGGCCAGGGGGGCCCAGGCGAGGTGCTGCCGGCCGAGGCCATCGGCCAGAAAAGAGTGAGACCACACGCTAATTGAAACCGCCCCCCCCCCGCCCCACCTGGGCAGAATATAAACACCCGGGGTTTCCGGCTCCCAGCAAGGGCCAGAAGGGGCCTACGCGACTCGGGGCACATAGTGCCTCTTCGCAGGGGCAGGGCCAAGCGCGCACATGTACATGCGCCTTGGCGAGACCGGCAGGGGGGGGGGGGGAACCCGCCACGCTCGTCCTCCCCGGCGCCCTCGCCCAGTTCTCAGGCCGTGGGGGCGCACTCCCCTTTCCCCCTTGCCCGGCTGCCCCCCTGCGACCAGCATGGTCGCAGCCTGGCGCGGCGCATTCTCCTGCCGCGCGTGCGCGTGATCAGCGCATGCCTTTTGCCATCGCACGAGAGACGTCGCGTGATTTCCTCGCGGAGCTCGTGAGCGACTCCGCCTCCCGACACACGCCAGCCAGGCTCTCGGCCGCGCGCCGGGTCGCCCTGCCACTCTCCCGGCCCGGATGCTTTTTTCCCCACCCAGGCCCTGGCTGGATTCCGTGGCTGCATCGCGTCACCCAGCAGCACACTCCCAAACACACTCACACTCTCTCTCTCACACACACACGCGCACGCGCACGCACGCACGCACAAATACACTGACACAGGCGCCAGCCGGCCGGGTGTGTCGCTCTATGATGTATATAGTTGAATGGTTCTCAAGGGGCTATGGTGGGAGGGAGAGGGGGGGGGGAGGAGGAAAGTCGAGGCACGCCCCGGCATGCGCGCGTTGTGGCAGCAGCAGCAGCAGCAGCGGCGGCCCCGCCGCCGCCGCCGGCACGCATCATGGCATTACACGGTGTCCTCCTCGGTGTCGCTGCCTGGGCTGGCACTGGCCCCGGCGCTGCTCGGCCCGCTGACGTCGCTACTGCCGGCGCTGCTGCCGCCTCCGGTGCTCTCACCGGCGCCAGCACCGGAGGAGGAGGCCGCCAGGCCCAGCGCCTCGGCCTTGCCGCCGCCACCGCCGCCGCCGCCGCCGCCGCCCTTGGACACTTCCTCCGGGAAGTGGGGCAGGCTGCCGGAGGGCGGGGTCACGCCGCCGGCACTGACCCCGAGCGAGACATCGCTGGCGCTCTGGCCGGTGGTCGACCGGCCGAAGGACCCGGACTCGCTGCCGGACACCAGCGAATCGCCAGGCCCATCGCCGCGGCCGGGGCCGCTCCGCGGCAGAGGGGCCACCCCGCCGTGCATCTCGATGTCCTCGCCCCCGGCGGTGTGGTCGCCATCACCGGTGGCCGAGCGGCTGCCGCCGGTGCCCCGACGGCCCCGGCGCATTCCGCAGCACCCGGGGCCCTTGGACCGGGCCTCCTCGCGGCGGGCCTGGTGATACGCGCGGATGGTTTGGTCGTAGTAGGATGGCCGGAACATGACCTGGCTCGAGCGCACGACCAATTGCACCAGGTGGCATGCCATCACCACAAGGGCCAGCACCAGCGGCAGCCAGATGCCACCGGCCTTGCCCAGGCGCGACATGACCCCGTACATGATCATGGAGTCGGGGTTGCTCTCGATCAGGCGTCGACCCAGGAAGGCGATGATCAGGAAGTACACGGCCAGCGGGATGAAGGTTCCGGCGGCCACGCGCTTGGTCCAGAAGCTGCATGAGGCCGCACAGGATGCCCGCCCGGCCGAGGGAGCGAGTGGGTCGCCGTAAACCGCGGCAGCGGGCGCGGGCGCGGGCGCGGGAGGGGGGGGGGGGG